GCTGCAGGAGGTGCCAGAAGGGATCGCAAAACTCGTCCAACTGCCTACGGGTCTCCGTACCGGATTTTTCTTCTGGGTTTACTCCCATAGCCTTTGACCAACCAAGGCCGACCTGCAAGACAGCAGGAAACTCGTGGAGGGCGGGGTCGTTCATTTCCCGTACAGATGCGTAGCATAATGAAGCATCTGCCCACTGCCCTAATACTCTGTATACATTTGTAATATCCAAGCATTTAAATTGTCAGTTTGCTGTCGGTTACCTAAACGAACTGCCGTTAATCAGCCAACCAAAATCAGTTAGCAGGGGCGGACTTAGTGATAGGCAAAGGTAGGCAACCGCTTTGGGCCCCCAGAAGCCAAGGGCCGCCTAAAAATGTAAATTATATATATTTTAAATTATTAATGCTAAATAACATATGCTGAAAATTTAAATATTAATGATAATGGAATATCGAGGGAAATGCAATTGAATAGGGCCCCCAAAACACTAAAACTGCCCTTGTCAGTTAGATAGCTGTTAGCTCATGATGGTGCAATTTTAACATTTAACATTTTTTTGAGTGTAAAAGTGACTTGAACGCACCGGATGTTGTAATTATGACTTCCCAACTCAGAAATACAAACTTCACAGGAGGACTTGAACGCACTGTAAACCCTGAAGGTTTTCAGTAAAGTCCCATTACCTTGACTTGTACTCATTTTCATGCGCAGTAAAATAAAATCCACTAGAACAGCAGATCTGCTCTCTGCACATCAAACAATGTCTAGCCACATTGTCATTCACTCCTAACAAGAACCGCCCACTGAGTCTAGAAGTAATGACTGACATATAAACTGGCCAACCATCGATAAGAAATTACATACGATCCAGCCAATGAGGCTTTTGGATTTAATTATCTCAGTTGCTTCAGACAGATTGTTCGTAGGTGTGAAGAGAATTGAAATATTTGAAATGCACATTTAAAATTTTTAAAGAAAAAAAAAAAATAAAACAGCATCAGCCACGTTCAACACTTGAATAGAAAGATGTGGCTCCTTCAGGTATCTGTAACCTACAGTTGAACTTAGTGATTGTATTGTAATTCGGCTGTAACATCCGATCCCCCCATCTGTTAAATAAGGCTAAATATTTGTTGCTGTCACCATTAAGCCACAAAAAGAGATTTTATCATTATATATATATATATTTTTTTTTTGTATCATTTTTAAATTATGTCTCTGATTTGCATATGTGTGAATGGAAGAAAAGCTAGCAGTTAAAATGTCTGACTGTCCATCGCAGAGCCGCGAGACAGACAGCTGCAGTGGCTGTATTTTTTTGGTAAATATTAATATTAAATTATTAATAAAATATTAATTTTCGGTAAATATTAACGCATAATGCACATTGATTTCCTGGAGAGTGATGGAGAAACAGCATTAATCAGTTTTTCTGGGTTTAATTTTGGAGGGAAGGGGGATTTCTCCCATAACGTAGAATACATTTACAGGTTGTATGCATTAATATTTTTCTCGTGCTTCCAGGGTCATAGTTACTCACATCCTAATGTTATCTTCTGTTAAGACATTGGCATAAGCATGAAGAAAAAGTGAATATCAGTGAAAACTATTGCTCAATTAACCCAAGAAAAAAGTTTGGTCAATAGTGCCAAATAAACAAGGCAACCAACTGCATTCAACAAAACATTTTATTATGTAATATGCCCAGGGAGATGGTAGATAAGATTTTCATTGAATGGGTCTTCATAGAAACTCACTTGACCTCCTACAGTGGGAGAAAGATGGCAGAAAAGTACTGTATGGTATATAGATAAATAGAGTCTGGTCTTGTACTAAGTGTTGCTAACTTTAACAACAAATCTAATCACTGAAGATAAACTTTGTATGTTAACAGATGCCAATAACTGCAATTAATTTGAGGTAAATGTAGGCCAACTGACATCTGGTTATGGTAGCTAGTGAAGTGTTGCTCATCTTATTAGAATGTAAGAATCTAGCTATTATCTAATGATAAACATTAACTAAAGCTGGCTACATAAAATACCACTATTGACTAGATTAATGAAAGGTCAGCTAATGTGTTAAAATGTCAAAAATGCAGTGATTTCATCAACTTACCAGTGAGTGTGTTTGGGAAACACTGAAATGAATTGGGTTCAGTGCTGGAACTATTCAGTGTTTGGAACTATCTGTTGTCCCAGGACATGCGTCACTTCCGCATTCTCCAATTACAACAGAAGTCTATGGCAGTGTTGCAACTCTCTATTTCAATGGTGTTGGGTAAAATTAGGTCTCTAACAGTTGGTGAATTCGACATTTGAATGATTCCGCCCATGTTTCTAGAAGCTCCGCCCCCAGAACCTGGAGTAGAGTATTTATAAAATGACTGACAGGAGGTGCATCCAAACACAAACAAGTATTCCAGACCGGAAGTCAGTTTTCCAAACAGGTTTCTCAGCAAATTAATACGTTTGTGCAAAGGCCATGGTTTAATCTGTTGTTGTTGGTTTTTTTTTTTAAATCATGTTCTAGATATCTTCCAGGTTATTTGTACAAACAAAGAATAAAAAATTTAATATTGCACCTTTAAGTAAGTGATATCTGCTGTTTCTGATGTAAATGATGACTGTAACAGGTCATAATGTGTCTCTTTAAAACTCCTCCTATTAAGGAAGTGCTGAGTCTGAGACGACTGCAGTCCTTCATAAACAGCCTGCAGTGTTCTGCTCTGGGGAGTTTAGTTTTATTCTCGGTTTATGGAGAAATCTGAGTCTCATTTTCAGCACTG